CTCTCCACTCAAGCTTGCTGCCCTCCCTGCCCTGTGGGTTTCCACAAAAGGGGCACTAGGGAAAGGAGGGGAGGGAGGTAGCTGGTGACTGGAAAATAGAATGCAACTAATTTGGGCAGCCGATCCAGGTTCTGTTCCCGATTACTGAGCTCCCCAGCCAGAGGCCCTCAATGCAATGGAGATGAGGATGTGGGTAACACCCAATACTAGCACAATCAACCCTTTGAGACTCAGATGCTCAGCACAGTGACTACAGGCTCCCAGAAGCTGGCAATCAGTGGGAGCGTTCTCAGGCTGGCAGCTCTGGGCCTACCAACCCATCATCCATAGACACAACTGATCTAGAGCCTCCTGGGACAGAGATGGGCTAAGGGCTGCTGGCCACCTGCACTTCAACAATAAGGTTGAATGAAGAGAGATTGGAGAACATTTCAAGATGACTCCTGATGTCTCTCATGTAAGGGGAAACTGGGGCCAAGTAGCATAAGTGAACCACCAAGGCCACTTGACATAGTGGTGGCCTCTTTGTCTGTCCCAAACACAAAGACATCTAGTTCACTTCTGAGAGCAGCCACTCCTTGCTATGTGACTCCTTGCAAATGCCTCTACCTCCTTGAGACTCTAGTCTGCTCAAGGGGAAACTGGGAACACTAATGTAACTTCCCAAAAAATTAATACCCCAGGTGTATAAATAAATCCTGCAAATGAAGGGAAGACAAAATACACTGAAAAAGTGATAAGGAATAAAAACAGGCAGTTCAGGCCAGGGATATAGCTCAATGGTTCTGCCACCTGCCTCGCAAGCACAAGGTCCCAAGTTCAATCCCTGGTACCAAAAACAAACAAACAAACAAACAAAAACAACCAGACAACTCATGGATGAGAAACCTCATATGGTTGATAAAGCTGTGGAAAAAAAATTTGGCCTCACTAGTAAGCAGGGAAATGGCAACAAGCATCACTAGTTGGTACCCATTGGATGGACACAAACTAAAGTCCATAAGACAGAGTTAGCAAGGGACCCAACAGATGCAAAGATGAACACACACAAACCCCACCAGCTGTTTTATGCCAGTGTACATACACAGAAGTAGCTCCAAGGAAGTTAACTGCTGCGTACATTCTAAATGTCCCCAACAGGAGTGTGAATAAAGAGGGGTGTACCCATAAATGGAATACTACACAGGAGTTAAAATGAACTAGAGCTACATCTATCAAATATAGATCTCAAAAGTGTGATGTGTTTATGCAGTTTTAAAAACATTCATGTTGATACAAGATTTCGGGGAGTGTTTAAAGGCAAAGACATTAAAAGGTGCCACACTGGAGTGGGAAGAACACAAATTGCAAATCAGAGCCAGGGATCTTTTTAGGGTGACAGAAATCATCACTGGATTGTGGTGAAGCTGCTCAGCTCTATAATTTACTAAAAAAATCAGTAAATTGTATACTTAAAATTATACTCCAATAAAGCTGTTAAAGAAAACAACTGCGTGTAGTAGTCCACATTTAAAAATGCACGAGGATGATAAAAATCGAATGCAGTGTGCTGGGTTTTCAGAGGGCATGGTGTTGAAGGCATACAGGGGGCTTTGCAGCTATCATAAATGCTTCCTTCCTTCTTTTCTTTCTTATCTTTTTTGAGATGAGGACCCTCACTATGTTGTTCAGCCTCAAATTTAGGATCCTCCTACCTCACCCTCCCAGTAGTTAGGATCATGAGCTTGTGCCATTGTACCTGGGCTTATGGTTTATTTCTTAAAAAGTAAAAGGATCTGAAACACAAATGGCAAATGCAGAACCACAGTATTGAGTTGGACAGCATATTAATAGCTATTCATTTTATTCTCTTTCTGCATTTGTGCACTGGAAATACTGGATTCCTAGAAGGAGTTAAAGGGCTGGTCTATCAATGAAATACACAGAGAGAGCCTAATCCAGTGCCTGGCCTGGGGTGACAAGGGCACAGCTCGGCTGTGGTTGTGCTTCCCACTGCCAGCCAGCTCCCCTTGGTTGTGAACGCTCTCCAGCGGAGCCAGCAGCTTCTCTGGGCTCCTCGGTCAGTGACTCGGTGCTAAAAGGAATATTCTGTGCATGCTCCTCCAACAGCCCCAATAGACACAGAGGTCCCACGGAGCCCTTCCTTTTTTCTCCACTCCAGGTGAAAGACAACCAGTCACGGAGCAGTCTCCCTGGGACCCTCAACACTGGGAAGCCCCTCCCCATTCATCCTGAAACCTTTGGATCCAGGGAAGCCCTCTCCAGACAGGAACATGACAGATACCACCTCACTGTCAGGATCTGAGGCGCCCCCACGGATGCTCTACCGGGTGGTGACAGAGGCTGGTCTCGGGCAGCAGCAGATGCCATCCTGCCATGGAGAAGACACCATTCTGGAGGCCCAGCCCTGCGCTTCATCCAGGTACAGCTCTCTGATGACGCCCATAGGACCCAGGACTTGTTCTGGCACAGGCAACTGAATAGTGAACAGGCAGTGGTGGCTGAGGTAGCTGTAAACAGAGGTGTGTGTGGGGGGGGGGGCGTAGATCAGGACTCTCCATTATGGACCTGTGTATCCTACAACACCATGACTGGGGCAGAGGCTGTGTGAAGTCCCGAGCTGTAGTTTGTCCCCCAAGGATTCATGTATGGTAACTTTGATCCCCAGGGTGGTGAAGTGAGAGGTGGTAGAACCCTTAAGAGGTGGGGCCTAATGGGAAGTGATAAGGTCAGCAGGCTCTGCAGACCCATTCATAGTTCCTGACAGGGGTCGTATAAAAGAGCACACCGGCCCCTCCCTGGTCTCTCTAGCTTCCAGTCTCACCACGTGATCTCTCCCACCATGATGTCATCCACTATGTTGTGACTCAGCCAACAGGGTCTTTACCAGAAGGAAAATCAATGAGGCTGCCCAAAACCTTGGACTTTCAGCCTCCTAAACAGTGAGCTAAATGGACCTCTGTCCTTTATAAAGTACCTGACCTCAAGTATGTTGTTATAGTAACAGAAAATGGACTAATGCCAAGGGTAGCAATCAATGCTGGGACCCATTTTTGGTTGTCACAACAGGTGAGAGGGGTGCTACTGGCATCCAGTGGGCAAAGCCCAGAGATGCTGCAGAGCATCCTACCATATAGAGGACAGTGTCCCACAACAAAGAGCGATCTAGCCCAAAATGTCAGCAGTGTTGAAGTTGAGACACTTGGTCCTGGGTGGGTGTAATAGTATTTTCAATTTGCAAATTGTGGAAGTCAGAGCTCAGAAAAGTAAAGCAACCACCACAAGGTGACACAGCAGGAAGTGGTAGAGCATGGGACTGTCCAGGTCCCCTACTTACACTGTCCAAAGTGGCTTTAGACAGGGACATCAAATCGGAGGCAAAGTCCAGGCCTGCCAACAGCTGTCCCTATGCCCACTCCTTCTAGAGTATGCACGTGGGGGCAGGGGCGGGTGCTGGGGAGGAGAGGTGGTGCAGTCTGGTTTGGCTGGGTTCGGACCCTTGTTGTCAGGCAGTGAATTTTCTGTTTCTATGGATGATTCAGTTCATCACCACTGCCTTTCCTCATCTGATGAACCCAGAGACCTGCTAGCAGAGAGCCCCTTGAATCACAGGAGTGACTAAACCCACACACAGAAAAACAAGTTCTGGATGAAACACCCTCTGCCCTGTCTGATTTCAGCCTGTTCCCAATTACAGTGATGCGGACACCACGTGGCAGGCTGGCAAAGGACGCAACAGTTACGGACTCCATTCCAGCCAGTCACTTAGTCACTCCCCTGGGAAGAGGGCAGCCCCCTCATCTTACTGATGAGGAAACTGAGGTTCCAGTTTCCTAGCAAGCTGCACAGCCAAGGCTGAAACCCAATATGTTTTAACAGACTTTTTTTTTTCAGTGGGCCCCTGAAAAGTGATTAAAAGCTTAGAAGGATGCCCCTCAAAGTTTCAAAAACCCATGGCATAGAAACAAACACTCTGGTTCATCACCAATGATACAGCAGATTGCTTAGCTTTTGAGAGGGCTCTGTCCAGGGAAACTGAGGGCACGGGATCCAGAAAGTGGAGTGGTCTGGCGGAATACTTTTTGGGTTCAGCAAAGCTGGATTTACATCCGGTATAGGCCTTCATCTTTCTAAGCCTTAGTCAGTCCCTTCAATTGTCAAATGGGCTTAAGAACCACTGCCACAAGAAAACTGTTACAGGAAAGAGTGAGTGGAAGAAGAGGTGCCCATCCTTGGAGGCTGTATCTATCCAGCTCACAGATCTGCTAGGAGGCAGCACCGAGCACTTCCTCCTGTTGCCATGTTGGTGAAAACTGCCCTCATACATGGAGACAACTCACTTAACATCCTCAACAGGCTCCAACAAGAAACCAAGATGTGGCAGCATTTTAAACAGTTAATAAAAACAAAAAACAAACAAACAATAACAACAACAAAAACAAAACAGGGAGGAGGGGGAAAAAAGGACAATTTAGCCCAGTACTGGGAAACTTCGCTCTATTTCAAGATGCCACAGGTCCAGGAAATAGCTTCCCACCGTCTGGCTAAGGGGTGAATAGAGCTGGCTGCCCAGCCAATAACAATACAGACTCACACAGCACACCCTTTCTCCTGGAGAGCACAGTGGATTCCCAGCTATCTCCTTTCAGAATTTTATAGGCTCTCCATGGAAGGCATGGAGATCTGCTTTGTAAAAAGAAATCTCAAAAAAATAAAAAATCCTAAGAGGGCTTCCTGGGCGGCCAAGGAACTGAATTTAGCCAGCCAACGCCCTTTTCTAGTCATTGTTCTGCACTTCTTTGTTAGGATTTTTTCCCTCCCTCTTGCTCTTTTTTCCTTCCTGGTTAACTTCTCCCAGCCAGCTCAGCCACTGCCCACTACTCACCGCCAGAGACACCAGAGCCCCTCCCTTCTGGAGGGAGGCCCTCCCTAAGGCCTGCTCACCACCTACAACCTCTAGGGTGGGCCCTGGGTCACCTGAGCCCGAAGACGTGGTCCCTACGCTGCTGAAGAAGCCCCTTTTCACCTGCAGGTCCCCGGGCATCCAAAGCAAACCTTCCAGAGGGAGGGGAGGCGTGAATGCAGCAGTGTTCTAGAACCTGCATCCTCTTGGAACCTCTGCCTGCCATCTGCAAAATGATGCTGCTAGCCCATTTCTCAAGTCCTTGTGGGATTCAAACAAGATTCTCGTTTTACACAGGGAGAGGCCAGGAAGAAACTTTGGTACGTTTTTAAAAGGAAGTTACTGTACAGAGGAGGGGGGCACTCCAACGATCTTATCCATGCCATGGTCAGGCTGGCTGTCCCAGAAGAATCCAGCCAAACTTGGTGATCCCCAGAGGGGCTACCTGTGGCTGGGCAACGCCGGTCTGGGGGCCTCTGGATCAGGAGGGGTGGTGCCCTGTCTCTTTTCCCTTTTTCTGTCTCCCGGTTCCCTACACCGGCTGGGGCCAGACTTTTCCACGGATGAGCAGGACTGGGTAGGGGTAGGGGTG